GTTTTTTCTCGGAAATCAGTGAAACTGGGGCAACAGGTTGCCGTTATGTGGTTCAGCTTTCCAGGAAAATCTGAGGGGGATTAACCGTGAAAAAATTCGTTGAGGTGAAGCGACGGCAGCCAAAAAGAAAACTAAAGCCATCGCAGAGTCGTGCTTTATAAATATGGAAATATTTCAGGGAATAGGGGCCCAACCCTCGGAAAGCCGAACCAAAATTGGATGGTCCAAATACTATCCCCAGGGATTAGTTCAAAAAAAGCAGATTTTTATTGCATTTTTATTATTTTCAGGGTTTTTTTGAGAATCTTTCGGACATCGAAACTGAGCATACGCGATGTCTAGCATTTTTGCTGGTCTATTCGCATGCGCTGTTGTTCGTGGATCCGGGTTGTCGTTTCGATCAGAGCTATTGCCGCGCTCTGAAACATGCCAACGAGTTGCGTATTCGTCTACGTGAGCAAATTTCGTCAAAATTAGAAGCAGTAGAGGATTTCCCGCATGCATGGGCTGTTGAGGGACGTTTGGCGCAACCACGTTTTCTGTTTGCATTCCATCGTCATCTTCTGCGTGTGGATTTATCGTCCCTGCGAAGGGTTTGTTAATTTTTGTTTGTATTTCAAAAAAAAAACTTATATTTGCAAGCGCTTTTATAAGCCTTGCTTTTGTGAATATATATAAGATCAATTGATCAAAATTAAATAAAAAGTTATATTAACAAGGGATGAAAGAAGAATTTATAAAAAGAATTATATGTCATCAACAAAGCTCATATTTATAAGCTCTTTTATGAGCCCTGTTTTTTGTATAATCGTTTTTTGTATAATTCTGACTGAACTTTTGCACTACAAATACGCTAAACCTTTATCTAAATTATCATTTTTGCCACAGTCGTCGCACTGACAAGGTCCAATTGTGGTAATGGTAAGAAATGTATACGACTTAATACTCCCCTTCCTTTTTTTCACTTCGTTTTCCTTCCCTTCTTTTCCCCTCTCCTCATTTTCTGCTTTACCTTCAAATGTATAAGATCAATTGATCAGAATCGAATAGAAAGGTATATAAACAAGGGATGAAATAAAACGAAGAATCAAAAAGAAAGGTAGGAAATGAGAATTACAAAATTTGAAAAATTAGTAAAATTATTATAAAAGCCTGGTGCATAGTTGGTTTTTATGCGAGACGAAGCACATGCATTTAGCCAGAATGATAATAAGTTGCAAAGGCTGATTAAACTTTAGCAAAGCGAACGAAAATTTATTTTTTCGAGATATTCTAAGAGGTAGTCTGACGGGTAGTTTTACCCTTCTGGCATGGGCAAGTACTATTTTGTTCGGTAGGAATAAACAGTTCATTGCGGAGCTGGTTAGTCCGCTGATTCTCAAAAATTCATTCTTAATTCCGAGAGTAACAATTTAATTATGAATACGCCCTGTTGGCCAGCAAGATCCGCTACAGCACTATAAACGATGAATCAAAGTGTACCGGTAAATACGAACTTTGACGAAAATACAAAGAAAAATGAGGAGGAACAGAGACTGAGAGTAAAATTTTTGGAAAATTCGCAAATTTATCGTGAAAATTCCTAAGTACATATCCCTGGATTTCCCCGATTGCTATCTGCATCAGTCTTTTCCCTTCGATATATTTGGCTTTCTAAATTGTCTTAAATGTTTGATTTCTTAAATTCCTTTTTTTTTTCTTGAAATATTAGCTTTCTGTAAGGAAGAAGGTCTCGAATGACATAAAAATTGTTTGCTTAATAATTTTGCTTTTGATAGCACTGGTGGATTTGTAAAATGTTTGAGTTTACAAATAACTTTTTTGCGAATTTTTTTAATTTTTTAATTCTAGTAATTTTAGAGAGATCTAAAG